TTTGGCGTGATCTCTTCGAGGGCGTGGGCTTGCATGATGTGCGGCACCTGTGGTCTGCTGTGTCCTGGCTGCGGTCCCCCCGGCTTGCCTGGGGGATTGTGTGGGTGGTTGTTGTTGCTGCGAGCCTGCATGTAATTCTGCTTGTCCTAGGGTGCCCTAGCTGTGATTTCCTAGGGTGCCCTAGCTGTGATTGATGATGTTCGGGCACCAAGTCTTTGCGAGGCAATGGCCCCAGTACCGCTGCGAGCGTGGGGGGTGGGGACTGCCGGCCCTCCATGTCGGGCAACGCAAAGAGCGAGATCAAACGAAACATAGAGTGACGTGAAGTGCGTTTTCTGGCTCCGCCGACTCACCCACAAGCAAGTCTACGGAAATCCAGTCCATTCACGGTACGACATATAAGCACATGTTTTTGTTTGCGTTGTTGGTGGTGTTTGCTTGATGGTGTTTTGTTTGCTGGCTTGAGGAAGGGTAGCACAGGGAGGAAAGCAGGGAAGTAACACAGGAGGGAATGAAGCAGGCAGCGAGATGCCAAGAAGCCGCAGAGAGCCACCCTGCCGCACTGAGCTGCGTAAGATGGCTTGTTGCACGTGGCAATATAACAGCAGCGTGTCATGTGGGAGCAGCCCAAGTTTGCGATGCAATTTGTGGTGAGCCAGCTGATGCGAGCAAGAGCGCCAACGCCTCACGCCAGGAGAACACAGAAAGAACACAGGTAGAACAATCGGAACCGTTTACTCTCGAGCACTACATAGACTTACGGTTGCAAGACCATTATATTGGTCATGTGGCTTGTGGAAGTATTCGCCGGTGGTATTGTTAACCAAAGAAGAAAGGAAGGAGGGAATAAACGGAACCGCCAGAGCGCTGACAATTAAAATCTTGCATTCTCTGGCTGGGCAGCGCAGACGGATGGACGATTTGAAACCATAACACCTGATTAGACAGTTATTTGCAAGTTTGTGGGTCTGGCCAGCAACTGCACCTATGAACCCTACAAACCGTCCCTTAAACCGTTTGTGGGGACTCTGGACCTATTTGGGGATTCCTTCCCCACAAACGCTTCTGAGGGCTTGAAGTGGAACGGAGAGGTGGCCGCCGCCGACCCCCCCCCCCGGCGCTCTGAAGCAAAGCCACCGAAGCAATGCTAGTTGAAAGCAAAGCCAGGCCTAATGCATGCTACCTTAAGAGCTGTTGAAATTCCGTATAGACCCCTTGAAACCATAGCGCGTCTTGTAAAGTCTCAGAAACCCTACAAGCCGACTAAGACTGCTTCTAAACCCTGAAAGCCCTAACAAGCCGGCCTATAGATCCCGGCTGAAACGACAAACCGTGCAAGCCAAACGGCTGATATCAGTCTACCTCGTGAGGGAACACCTCATTTCGCTGCTCTTCCTCGGGTGTTTGCTGCCGAGGTAGACTCAGACAGACCACAAACATGAGCAGTCTCATTGAATCTTCGCATGTCGTGGTGCTGTGAAAGGCCATTTGGGTCACAGGCATCCTTCGGCCAAGGGTAAGATCTCGACGCCATGAGCGAAAATGACCCGTCAGAGGAGGAAGGCCCGGTTCAGCAAACCTTATCCCCTTTGCGTGACTCTGGAGGGTGAGTTTGCTGCAGGGACACCTCAATCGCAAGAGCTGGTGGATGCTCTTTCGTCCATGCTACGCCCATTGAGGCCTACCCTTTCTCAACTTGCGGCTCACGTTTAATTTTCAAAAGTTGCATAATCTCTGCGGAGGCTCTCACATGCGCTACAATTCCGCACAAATGCAGCTGCCTCACTCGTGTGAAACGCACAGGTGTCAGGCCTGTAGTGACACAGTGTTGCTCCCCTTTGCATTGAGGCGCCTGTAAGTCGGCAGGGCGAGGGCTTGCACAAACAAGAGCTATGCTTTATACGAGTCGTGGAGGCGGTATAAGCTGCTCGTGTTTTGATGTGTTTTGGTTTGTAACGTTGCATGCGCAACCTTTGCTTGGCAGGCTCCGCCGCCTCCGCCCGAGCAGCACAAGCCATACTCTGTTCGAATCGGAGGCGGCTTTTACATTCCCGAAGTGCATCGCCGTGGCCTCAATGTGGTGTCCTGGCTGTGTGCTCCACACCACAGAAAGATGGCATGCTGCGCTTCGTTCCTGTTTCAATTGAAGAACGGGACGAGGACGTTGCATGGTTGCTGTCTCATGTTAGTGATGCAACGGCACGACACATGCTGCCGGATGCTGGCACCGACGGTGGTGAACAGTCCTGGCAGTCCTGCTGGGTTTATGGGAAGCTATCAGAAGTGAGGGAGACCTGCTTCTTCTTGTGAATTGCAGATCACCGAAACCACTTAGGATCTGCGGTGCAAGCTGCCAAGGTGCTTCGCAACAGCAGCATGAACTTGCGTTTGCTACCCTGGTTACAGTGCGTGTGACAGGAAGCAGCCCAGAGGGTCAAGGAGCGATCCATGCCACAGTCCGGACCGCAGATTGTGCTAGCACCAGAACGGAATTCAGCTGTGTGCGGGCTGCCAACAAGGCGCGGGAGATCACAGAGTCTCTCCGAGCCGCAGCCGCCCCTTGGCGGAAGTCTTCTGTGCAAATCTGTGCAATTCCACACCACGGATTGAGAGGCCGGCAAGTTATTGTAAGGTCTGCCGATGCTGCTGACGCGAGCTCGGACGCGAAAAGTAGCGGAGGCAATGGAGGCGAGAGTGTGTGTGTGTGTGTGACCTAGTTTGGAACGATCCAAGCGAATCTAAGGTGCAGCTGGACCGGTCCTGCTGGGCCGATCTACAAGCCCTGAAAAGAAGCGTATCGAAACTGAGGAGGCTGAGGCGGATGGAGTAGGCGTCTTACGCAAAGATATCGCAAACGGCCTGGTGACGTGCGGCAGGCGGAAGTTGAGGACTACCTTGGCGCGCCGCGCGACAAGAGGCTTCCTAGTGGCTTTGCCGGAGTCCGAGCAATGTCTAAAAAGTTGGGCCCTCTGTGGCATCCAGATTAGAAGGTGAGTCCCCCGAAGATTAGAATCTTCGCAGCCAGCAAGCCGGTTAGCCAGATGAAGCAGCAACAGTCTTTTGTCACCTAGAGCTGTCTTCCTTGAGACTCAGCCAAGTCGAGAGTGTGTGTGTGTGTGTGTGTCTGAGTCTGTGTCTGCGTGTGTGTGTGCGTGTGCGTCTCTGTCTGTGGGTGTGGGTGCGGGTGCGGGTGAGGGTGGATGGGTGGGTGCGTTGGGTTGCATTGGGTTGCGTTGCGTTGCGTTGCGTTGCCGTGCGTGCGTGCACGTGCATGGTGTGTCCACCCTGTGACGCAGGGCTTGGTGAGCAAGTCTGCCAACGAAAGTCATGCAAATACCGCCGCCTTGGCCATTCGCCGTTTCAGACCGGCGGTGGGAAATAATGGCTTGTGGTGCAAGAATGGATTGTGTATAGCTGTTAGATCCGTGGGATGCTGCCGATTTTCCAAAAGAGCAGCAGGACAGCGCAGTGCCTGACCGCTGTGCGTCAAAACCCGCTGCTGGACCTGCTCCAACCCTGGCTTTTGAAGATGACTGGGGAGAGTGGAATAGGCTCACAAATAAGCCCCAAAAGGGAGAGCCAAGATCTTCGACAGATCCACGCCTTGCAAAGATTTCAGAATTTCAGAGTCAAAGCGCCGATGGCAAGCTCAAGACGCGACTTATCAGGGGCAGCGGCTAGAGAGTAGTTTCCATGAATATCTCGATCAACTCGTGAGGCTGAACAGCTGAACTGCCAGCTCCATCAGCCTCTCATCATTCTGACGAAACAGATGATTGTGCGGAGGATTTTATGGCACGTCATGTTGAGTGGTCGACAGACTCAACATATTCAGAGCTGCTACTGTTGTTGTCTTCTGAGTGTTTCTTCTGAATATTTTCAAGCATATCGAGTGCTGTAAAACTGGTGGTGGGTGCCATGGCCAAATGCCGACGAAAAGTCGGGTGCAAGAGCAAATCCACTACGTCTGTATCAACAAGTACGTCAATTTCAGATGCCTTGGCATCTTCGTCTTCCAGTTCGTCAAGTTCTTCTTCTAGTCCCGATTCTTCTCGTCGTCCAGACTTCAACAGCAAGTCCACGAAGACGATTCGAACTATTCAGTTGCCAGTGACTGCCAAGTTTCTGTTCAGAGATAAAACCCGAGTAGTTATCCAAGGACCAGACTTTGATCCCAGATACGGGTCCATCTTGTACAGCACTCAGGACAAACTACTCATCGCTTCAGTAAGATGAAACATGAATTAGTTTCCAATTCGTCCAAAGTGCAACATTACTTTTGCAAAGCACCTAAGTGTCCCATATGCTTAGATGTTAAACGAACTAGCAGGGCCAAGCTCATGCTTAGTTTCGTCAGAGTTCTGCCCTCACCGAAGCAACAAGAAGAAATTCAATCAGATTGTTGATCGTGTGTTGTCAAGTGTTGTCGCGATCCTGAAAACAGTGCTTTTCAGACACGAAGACCGTGGTTGTGCAAATCCTGCTCCGACGGATGTAGGCGGCATTGGTGCTTAAAAGCGAGGGCAGGATGTAGACGACTATAGTGCTCAGAAAAGCAGGGGGGGAGCGGACATTCTGGAAGGCACTGCCCAACGAAGACCTTTCCAGTTTGTCGTGATATGGATTGGGGAGGCTCAATCCAAGTACCTGCACAGAGAATGGCAACCAGGCAACCTGGCAAGTCGATAAGCGGAGCGTCAAAATGTAAAAATCTAGGACAAACAGCATCCATCTAAGGAAGGATGACAGTAAGGATGATTGGTCTGCAAGTGCGTGCGTGCGTGTGCGTGTGCGT